GTCCTTCTGTCTGTCCATCTGTCCATCCATGCATCCCTCTGTCCATCTGTCTGTTCCTCCATCTCTCTGTCCGTCTGTCTGTCCATCCATCCTTATGTCTGTTCGTCCATCTGTCCGTCCTTCTGTCTATCTGTCCGTCCCCCTGTCTGTCCGTCCACTGTCCATCTGTCTGTCCGTCAGCTTGTCCGTCTGTCTGTCCGTCTTTCTGTCATTCTGTCCATCTGTCTGTGTGTCCATCTGTCTGTCCATGTGTCCATCTGTCTGTCCGTTTGTCTGTCCGTCCGTGTGTCATTCTGTCTGTGCGTCCTTCTGTCTGTCCATCTGTCCATCCGTCCATCTCTCTGTCCATCTGTCTGTCCATCAGTCCGTCTGTCTGTCCGTGTGTCCATCCATCTGTCAGTCTGTCTGTCCATCCATCTGTCCATCCATGTGTATGTCTGTCCGTCCGTCCATGTGTCCATCTGTCTGTCCATGTGTCCGTCCGTCTGTCTGTCCGTCCGTCCGTGTGTCCATCCGTCTGTCCTTCTGTCTGTCCATCCTTCTGTCCATCGTCCGTCTGTCCATCCATGCATTCCTCTGTCCGTCTGTTTGTCCGTCCGTCTGTCCGTGTGTCTGTCTGTCCATCCGTCCATCTGTCCTTCTGTCTGTCCATCCGTTTTTCCATCCATCTGTCCGTCCGTCTGTCTGTCCATCCCTCCATCTGTCCATCGTCCGTCTGTCTGTCCGTCCATTTCTCCGTCTGTTCGTCTGTCATTCTGTCCGTCCATCCTGTCTGTCCATCTGTCCGTCCATCCTGTCTGTCCATCTGTCCGTCCGTCTGTCTGTCCGTCCGTGTGTCCATCTGTCTGTCCAGCCATCCTTCCGTCTGTCCATCCGTCGGTCCATCTGTCTCTCTGTCCGTCTGTCTGTCCATGTCTCTGTCTCTCTGTCTGTTCATCCTTCTGTCCGTCCTTCTCTCTGTCCGTCCATCTGTCCTTCTTTCTGTCTGTCTGTCCATCCGTCTGTCTGTCTGTCCATCCGTCCGTCCATCCGTGTGTCTGTCCGTCCGTGTGTCTGTCTGTCTGTCCGTCCGTCAATCTCTCTGTCCGTCTGTCTCTCCATCTGTCTGTCTGTCCGTGTGTCTGTCGGTCTGTCCATCCATCGCTCTGTCCGTCTGTGTGTCCGTCTGTCTGTCTGTCCGTGTGTCCTTCTGTCTGCCCGTCTGTCTGTCCGTCCATCTGTCCGTCCGTCTGTCCATTCATCCATCCCTCTGTCCATCTGTCTGTCCATGTGTCCATCCGTGTGTCCGTCCGTCCGTTTGTCCGTCTGTCCGTGTGTCTGTCTGTCCGTCTGTCTGTCCATCCGTCCTTATGTCTGTTCGTCCATCTGTCCGTCCATCTGTCCGTCCTTCTGTCTATCTGTCCGTCCCCCTGTCTGTCTGTCCACTGTCCGTCTGTCTGTCCGTCAGCTTGTCCGTCTGTCCGTCCATCTTTCTGTCATTCTGTCCATCTGTCTGTGTGTCCATCTGTCTGTCCATGTGTCCGTCTGTCTGTCTGTTTGTCTGTCCGTCCGTGTGTCATTCTGTCTGTCCATCCATCCGTCTGTCCGTCCGTCTGTCTGTCTGTCCCTCTGTCCGTCCATCTGTCTGTCTGTCCGTCTGTCCCTCTGTCTGTCCTGTCCGTCTGTCTGTCCATCCTTCTGTCCATCGTCTGTCTGTCCATCCATGCATCCCTCTATCCGTCTGTGTGTCCGTCCATCTGTCCGTGTGTCTGTCTGTCCATCCATCTGTCCATTGTCCGTCTGTCCATCCATTTGTCCGTCTGTTCGTCTTTCTGTCATTCTGTCCGTCTGTCTGTCCATCCATGTGTCCACCTGTCTGTCCATCCTTCTGTCTGTCCATCTGTCCGTCCGTCCATCTCTCTGTCCGTCTGTCTGTCCATCAGTCTGTCTGTCTGTCCATGTGTCTGTCTGTCCGTCCATCCATCCTTCTTTCTGTCCATCCGTTTTTCCATCCATCTGTCCGTCCTTCTGTCTGTCCATCCCTCCATCGTCCGTCTGTCTGTCCGTCCGTCTGTCCATCTGTCTTTCTGTCACTCTGTCCATCTGTCTGTCCATTCGTCTGTGTGTCCGTCTATCTGTCCATGTGTCCGTCTGTCTGTCCGTCCGTGTGTCATTCTGTCCATCCATGTGTCCATCCTGTCCGTCCATCTCTCTGTCTGTCTGTCTGCCTATCAGTCTGTCTGTCCGTCCGTGTGTCCGTCTGTCCGTGCATCCGTCTTTCCGTCTGTCCGTCCATCTGTCCGTCCATCTGTCCATGTGTCTGTCTGTCTGTGTGTCCGTCCGTCTGTCCATCTGTGTGTCTGTCTGTCCATCCATCTATGTGTCTGCCCCTCCGTACATGTGTCTGTCTGTCCGTCCTTCTGTCTATCCATCCGTCTGTCCGTCCGTCTCTCCATCCGTGTGTCCGTCTGTCTGTCCATCCATCCTTCCATCTGTCCGTCCGTCTGTCCATCTGTCTCTCCGTCCATCTGTCCATGTCTCTGTCTGTCTGTCCGTCCGTCTGTCCTTCTGTCTGTCTGTCTCTCCATCTGTCCATCTGTCCGTGTGTCTGTCGGTCTGTCCATCCATCGCTCTGTCCGTCCGTCTGTCTGTGTGTCCTTCTGTCTTCCCATCTGTCTTTCCGTCTGTTTAACTGTCTGTCCGTCCGTCCATCTGTCTGTCCGTGTGTCTGTCTGTCTGTCCGTCCTTCTGTCTGTCTGTCCATCTGTCTGTGTGTCTGTCTGTCCGTCTGTCTGTCTGTCCGTCTGTCTGTCTGTCCGTCCCTCTGTCCGTCTGTTCATCCGTCTGTCCGTCCGTCTCTCTGTCTGTCCGTCCTGTCTCTCCGTCTGTCTGTCCATCCCTCTGTCTGTCCGTTTGTCTGTTGTCTGTCCGTCTGTCCATGTGTCTGTCTGTCCATCCAACTGTCCGTCCGTGTGTCTGTCCGTCCTTCTGTCCATCCGTCTGTCCATCTTTCTGTCCGTCTGTTCATCCGTCTCTCTGTCCATCTGTGTGTCCGTTTGTCTGTCCTTCTGTGTGTCTGTCTGTCCATCCTTCTGTCCGTCCAACTGTCCGTCCATCTGTCCATCCATCCATCCCTCTGTCCATCCGTCTGTCCGTCCGTGTGTCTGCCCATCTGTCTGTCCTTGTGTCCGTCTGTCCATGTCTTTGTCCATCTGTCTGTCGTGTGTCCATCTGTCTGTCCATCCATCTATCCATCCTTCTGTCCATCTGTCTGTCCCTGTGTCCATACATGTGTCTGTCCGTCTGCATGTCCATCCACGTGCCTGTCAGTCTTTCTGTCCTTGTGTCCATCTGTCCCTTTGTCCATCCGTCCCTGAGTCCCTCCGTCAGTCCGTGTGTCCGTCCATCTGTTTGTCCCTCTGTCCATCTGTTTGTGTGTCTGTCTTTCCCTGTGTCCATCCATCTGCCTATCCACCTGTCCCTCTGACAGTATTTTTGTCCGTCTGTCTGTCCATCTGTCCATGTGTCTGTCCATCCATCTGTCTGAGCATCTATCTAGGTCTATCTCTCCATCTTTGTGTCTGTTTGTCCCTGTTTCCGTCTGTCTAACCATGTGTCTGTGTGTCTCTCTGTCCATCTGTGTCTCTCTGTCCGTCTCTCTGTCCCTCTCTTTGTGTGTCTGCCTGTGTTTTTGTCTGTCTATCTCTGTGTGTCTGCCTGTCTTTGTGCGTGTCTGTCCATCCTTCTGTCCATGTGTCTCTTTGTGTCTGTGTGTCCGGCTGTCTGTCCGTCTCCCTGTCTCTGTGTGTCTGTCTTTGTGTCACTCTCTCTGTCTGTCCGTCTGTGTGTCATGTCTCAAATTAATGTTTCATATCTCACCTTTCGTGCCTCTTCCCATCTGCCAGTCCTCGTGCTGCACCCACGCAATGCTGGCAGTGCCTTTTCCAGTAGTCTGTGAATGGCAAGCCAAGGCCAATGGGCTGAAATGTGGAGGCTCAGCAGGGTGGGACGGCTGCAGCCTTTGCTACCTTCCTACAGGAAGCTGAACAGGTTCCATCCTTCTGTCCTGTACGTTAACTGGCCCGGCCTCCCCAAGGAGAGGCAGCAGCATTGATTTACTGCACTGTATAAATGTGTTTATGGCTTGGCACGAGCACACTTACACTCGCTGTTTTCCAGTGTGGATTTCCAATAAGCCCTTTGCTCAAATGAGTCTATTAAATTTAGAGTGCCTGAAGCTAAAACTGAATTATGAGAGGTAGCTTTGGGGGTTGAAGCCCAAAACAGCTGGGAAAGACTCCTGGAGTCTTGTTAGTGCCTGCTGGGGTTGATATTTATACTGAGCAGAAATAACTGAAGAAGCTAAAGCAGCCCTGGCTGCACACATCACCTCAGCCTGAGCTGCCTTTTTACTTCAGCTGGCACTCAGACCCACCCGACTCCACAGGGTTATTAGAGCAGCTCCCGATTTAAGCCAATGTGAAATCAGAATATGATCCATTCCTTTCTCTCCTTATGGACTCAGTTTCCAGTAGTCCCATTTCCCTGTTTCTGCAGTGGGGTACAATAGCCCGGGGAGAAGCTCATCCAACCGTGGTCCCTCCCTCGTGGGTGTGTTTTGGTCTCTGGTGTTCTGCAGGGCTGGGAGGCAGTTCCCTCTCCTCTCCCATCCTGGGGAACTGCACAGAGCTGTCCTCAGAGCCTGTCAGTGCTGCCCTGCTCACTGTGGTGACACTGTCATGTGTAACAGCAATTACCATCCCTGCAGGGACAGGAAATGAAACAGAAAGTTTTAGAGGACCCCTAAGTACGGTCCATAATTACCTCTACCTGCTCAGGATTATGCTTCTCCAGCTAAGGAATAAGGCTGATTTCTAGTTGCTAGTAGTTGGGCTTTATCTGGAATAAAAAAGGAACACCTTACTACCCATGGAGAGAAAAAAAAAAAAAAAAGGATTTGTAGAGAATGGGATTAAATTAAGGAAAGTAGAGTTTGGGATGAACTCTAGAGGTAAAAATCTATAGTAAATCTACTGAAGTATCTACTATAGTAAATCTACTGAACTGTGGAATGACCTCAAGTGAGCAATGGAGCCTCACACTGTGAAGAAATGAAATATCTGCCAAAGCCTCAGGAAAGCAATGTCTGAGGAGGCAGCATGGCCTGGCTGTGGCAGTGCAGGGATAGTGGGTATTGGCAATGTACATCATATATCCACTGAACCTACACCTGTCCTGTATTAAAGCCTGTGTGTATTTATTTCTCAGGTAGGTATGACCTGCACAGCTTTAAATCCTGCCTCCATTTAAACCAGTGGGAATCTCACAGGCTAATTGAACAGGAAGCCATCAGAGCACACCAGTGACTCTGGCTGTCCCACCCTCAGCACATGATGCCTTAAAAATTCTTCAGACTTACGTGAGACCATGGTTATTACTGGATATTTCTGCTTTAGAAATCTCCTCTTGGTTTTACAATTATCTGTAGCGTTCAGCTCTAGGATGTACAGGTAGAAAAAAAGACACAAACCAAAAGCATTTCTCTCATTTGCTGGAGGGAGAGAAAAATACAACTGGACTTGCTACAGAATTAGAACTAATTAGAATTACTTTGCTTTTTTTTTTTCCCAGGGAGTTTGTTCAGTTTCTGTCAGATAACAAGGAAGCATCTCCCAATCTGTAGCTGTCTGGGAAATCCCTTTTCTAGAGGAAAGGGAAGTTGAGGAGGGAAGAGGAGCGGTGAGCCGAGTGCTGGCTGAACCCGACCTAGAGCTGTGCCAACAAATCCATGTGCTGTGTTTGACTGCCCTGGGCCTGGGGAGCAGGACCCTTGTAGGTAAGAGGATTGCTTCAGAGATCCGTGGTGACAACACCAATTTTCCTTTGTAGCTCGGAATACGCGGAGCCCCTGGATTTTGTCCAGCCACTTCGACTGAGGCACTTGGTCCCCTGTCTCTGGCTCCCTGGCACCAGCCATGAGGCAGTGCTGACAGGCTGTTTTCAAAAAGTCTCGTGGTTTGGGTCTGTTCAGGAAAAAAGTGCCTCTTGCCACTCACCAGATATGCTGGAGGGCTCAGAACATAGACATGGAAAAGCAGTGGCCATAGCTACTGTCCTGGCTCCTCACAGATGTTAGCTTTTCCATTCTTCGGGTTATTGCTGCTTCATCTTCCAGAATGAGGTTAGTGCCATTTACATTTGTCTTCTATTTTTCTCATCTAGATTTCTTACTTTTTTTTTTTTTTTCTGGAAAGCTTGTCCTCTTGGAAAGCTTATCCCCTCTAATTTTTGCTTTTACTTGACTGGCCCCACTTGTATGGTAACTCCCAGTATTTCCCATCATGACTCAGAGTCTGATCCAGCCGAAATGTGCATCAGCCCGGGACACAAGAGAAATCACTGGGATGGAAGCTGAATCTTTCATCTGCTCTTTGTATTTTCTGCCTTTTCTCTGGGCTTGTTTTCTTCTCTTTTCTTCCTTTGCAATTGTCAGGGAAGCATCTGTGAGTTTCATGAAACAAATGTTACTCATTAAAACCCCATTGCTGCCTGCCAGAAAGGAAAATGGCATCTTATTTGAAAACAATATGTAATTGTTATTGCTGTCTTGTTGCAAGTTATGCCCTTGAAAAATGTTAGGGACTTATTTAGTAGCAACTGATGCTGAGGAATAGCCTTACTAAAGCAGAAAATTAACTGTTGCAATATCTGTTACACAGCTTCAAACACCATAATACAAATGCCCGGTCTGTTGTGCTCGTGGATGTGTCTATGGATCACTTCAAGGACAAAATACAACACTTTTCCCTGGTGGAGGTTCCAGTCCCAGCCAAGAGAGCACAGCTACGCTGGTGTCACAGACCTCCTGCAAACACACCACCACCCTGGGTACTGCCTGGAGATCCAGTGCAGAGAAACTGTGCCTGTAAGGACAGTTTTTAACTTGAGTTGGCACCCTCAACACCTGCACCGCCAGGCTGAGCTGCTGAGTCACTTACAGATTGGTAATCTTCTTTTTTTAATGTTTCCATCTTAATCTATTTTGTATTGCTTTTTTTTTATTATTTTTTTTACTATTTTGTATTACAGGCAGGATTAATTAATGAATAGTAACAGATTTTTACAAAGCAAATTGGGAAACACAGACCTTTTCTTTTAGAAAGCTGGCATTGATTTCTGCACACAGCAAAGCCCCTCTCTCAGTAGAACTTTAGCCACTGTTTTTCACAGTAACCTGCTATTTATTCAATGAATATTTTATGCTATTGAATGTATTTTTCCCTCACAGTTCAGACAAAACATATAAATCCATTTCTATCACAAACTAGGTAAGGTTTTTATAAACAAATATATAACAAATATTTGTTATATAACAAATACTGGCTCATGCTAGTATAAAGCTATTATCCTTCTTGCTTATTGAAGAGAGTTGGGACCTTAATTCCAAAGAGGTGAAATTCCTGTTCACAGTAGAAGTTTACTTTTAACTACAGTGCCATAACAATCAGTCACAGAAAAAAAAATGTAACAGAGTTTTAGCCATATTTTCCACCTTGTGCTGTTACTGCAAGTATCCCTTTAAAAGTCTAATGAGCTTTTTATTGGTAAAAAAAGAAACACACAAAACCCCTGATTTGTAATTTTAAAATATTTAGTGTATAATTTAAAATCATTCTAGTGAAAGCAACTCTGCAAATGCATCTCTGTGATGGCAATCTGGGAAATATGGGATAATGCCTAATACATTCCATTTATTGTCAACTGACCCATGTTCCCATGCCATCCTTGGGCACTCAGGCACCACATTAAACCTCTCATTCTCTACTTGCACCATCTGAACCATTTTCATGGTGACAGCCAATGTTTCATCCAGCAAAGAACATTTCTTCTTTTGTGATTTGAGGTGATCTATGGAATGTATGATCTTTAATACAGAAAAACGTTCTGACTAATTTTAAGAAGTGAAATACAAGCAGAATTGTGCCTGCCCATCTCATCCTACCTTTAATGGAATAAATATGACTGAGTGTAATGGCCAAAATCCCTGACAGCCTCAGGTCTGCCAGCACTGGATTTGCATGTGCTTTCAGCCAGGGATTGGGAACCCTGGCTGAGCACAGAGCACTTAACGTGCCTCAGATGGTGCCTCGAGATTTCCTGTGCACACGTGAGCAGACAAGGCATGGTTGGGAAAAGCTTGGGTTTTCCACCTTCCTCAAAACACTGGTGGAAGAGGAATTGTGCCTGTTGTACTCAGCGTGTCAAGCCCTTTGCAGAGGTCCCATAAAGGCTCCTCATCACCTTTGCCATAGCACCTCATAGCCCCTTGTTAACTCTTCTCTTTTACGGGCCTGCAGGTAAGAGTTCATCTGACTGAAATATCCCTGAGGCAGCTGACAAGAAACTGCTGAACTGGCTGAATACAAAACCAGCTGCCTGCGTTCACTGTGGGGTGACGCTGTGCTCCAGCTCTCTGCAGCAGCGAGGCACAGCAGTCCCAGGGCAGGCGGGAGACTCTGGAGTGCCGCCAGGCTCACGGAGACCAGCGTTGCTCCGAGGATTATCGTCAGGCCCCTCATCAGATGGGGACTTGTTGACAATTCCCTGAATTTCCATTTGGAAGAAAGAGCTTCACGTTTGACCATTTATTTCCAGCGCCATGTCTGCCTGCCTTGCCTGCAGGCTTCAGGTGAGTCCTGTTCCCTTCCGTTTGAGGTCCGGATGAGGTAAGCTGGAGTAGCAATGCCTGCTCTTTTTTCTGGTTTGCTTTTGGCTTAGAGCATTATCAGGCAGTCTCTGGGTTTAGTTTCTGCATTCATTTCACTGCTTTCATATAACTGGCTCAGCAATTTTGGATGACCGATAAGGAATGAACTTTCTCTCACCCGCAGCTGCTCTGATATGAATTTTTAAAATCCCTCTGAACAAATGCAGAAGATACGATTGACAATTTTCAAATAACTCAAACATCTTTCATACATAAATACTCAGAGTTTTATCTGAACACGGTCTGAATGCTCTGATAACTTCCAAAGGCCTCACAAGTATGAAGATACTTTCCTCAAAGTCACAGGAGGATTAAAAGTGAGAAAAAAAGACAATACCAAGAAATCAACTGGGCACTTAGTTCCCCTGGAAGGCTTTAGGAGTGACAGCACCTGAGTCTAAAAACTGGTAAATGAGAAAGGCAATATAGAGATGGGAATGGAGCAAAGGGCTGCCTTGACAAGAAACAACCCAGCAAGTTTTGACTCTGCTGTGATTTTCTTCCCCCTCCCAAAAAAGAAGAAATAAAAAAAAGCCAAGTTATTTCAGTGCAAGCATGTTAAATAACTGGCATCTCTCCTGAAATCTTGTAAAACAAATTGTAGCTCTGTGCAATTAAGTGCTGTGGGTTATAATATCCTGCAAGATTAGACGTCTCTAATGGGAGTGTTGACAAGCCCTTGAGTGTAGCAATGCAGTGGTGCCTCCTCAGAGAAAGAAGCAAAGCTCCTGGGAAATAATTAAAAAACATTTTGGTCAGCCTGTGATGCAAATACAAATTTTTCAGGTTATGCAGAAATAAACTGGAAACCCACAGAACATCACCAAAAGAGACTAAGGAGACTGAGTGATGCTTGTCCAAATGGGCCTGAAAGGAAACAAAAAGGCTGGGAAGACAGAGGATGGGAAGGTTTTGGAGTAGCTGTGGTTCAGGAAAATCCCTCTCCCCTCCCTGTCCTTCTAATTTTTTTATTGTAGTCTGATGGTGGAGACAAAAGTAACCCGTCTTTTCATTAATCCTAAACCTTTCTCCTTCATCTGGAAAACTGGCATCAATTATGACTTTGGATCCACATTGTACTAATTTGGAATCTCATTAGGGAACAGGACTTGCCTATCCAAATCTGTTATTTTCAGTGCTCTGTCCCCATACTCTGTGGCAAGCAAAGCTTTTCTGCTCACCTGTTAACAGTGCTACAAATGGTAAGCTCTGCTCATTACATAGACCACACTTGGCCAGCTCAATACTTCCAGCTGTTCTTCAGCCCTGTTACTTTTTACTTCAAGAAGCAAATTTAGTTCAAAAAACATCAAGGAAAACCAGAATATTTTAAAATTCATTTTCTAATTGTTGATGGCTATCTAGCAAAGCCAACTGTTGGTTATTTTGGCAATAGGGTAAATTTAGGAGGTACTTGACCTTCAATGGGGCATTGCTGAATAAGAAAAGTCAAACTTAAATCAAGACTTGAAAAATTAAGAGACATGAACTACAGGGAGGAGCTCCAAGTCACGAAGTCTCTTCTTTCTCTCCTTTCCCACTCTTCCTCATACAGCCATAATTCACTGAGGGAGAGTTTTGAACATTTCCACAACTCCAAGTGTCTGGGCAGAAGGAATTAGTGAAGGAAATGTATTTTAACAATTAGCCAGGACATGGTGGTCTCCCCTGAAAAATTAAAAGGTGGGAAGTAGATACATCCAAGGTGTGAAAAAGAGACAAGATGTTTAAATCACTTTTATCATTTTTTGTACATACTGATGTTTAAAACAGTATTGATTGATGACATATTATTTTTTCTAATGTACCCTTGAGTCCCTAATTAGTGCTTGAGCCACTTGAAGGGATTATTTAATTTTTAAATAATTTCTGCAGCGAAATGAGGAGATCCCACGTTGGCTGCACACGCATTCTTGCCATTGCCCATGGCTGGAGTTGCCTGATGCTGTGAGTTTTCCATTTCATGGACCATTGTGAGAGAAAATCATGTGCTGAGGGAGTAACCCAGCAAGGAATGAGTAAATAGCTGCTGCTCTGAAGACCAGCTCATTAAGAGGCAGACATCTGAATGAAGTGAGGTTCCTGGGGAGTCTGTGGCACCAGACATGCCAAAAAGGGAGGCATGAAACCCTGTTATGTGCCATGACCAAGCAAAAGGCATTTTTACCTAGGCAGGATTGGTGGTTAATATTCTGCTCCTGTGCTGTGCTCACTGAAGCCCCGGAGTGCTTTTGTTCATGATGTGGGTCTTGTGCAGCACATTTACATGTGACCAACTGTTGGAGTGGCTCAGTCACCTCGGTACAGAGCAGGGCTCAGCTGAAATGCCAAAGGCACGAGCTTTGTTTGGGACATGAGGGAAACCAAACAAATATATCACAACTTTTTTTTTTTTTTTTTAAAAACCTTAACAACAGTTTCCTTATTCAACAGGATGGTGTGTTGTATGGATACATTACAGCTGGTCAAAAGACTAAAGATTATTTAGCTTTTAACTAACTTTTTTTACTTTTAATTGAGTTTGTTAGGTGTAAATAGCTGAATGACACAGCATTTGTTTAACTCAGCGATATTCACAGCTTAATTAAATAATTCACATGCCAACCTCTCTAATCGTGATGCAAAAAGACCAAAAACCAAATTAAAGAATCGTAGCTCCCCAAGCCAATTGCTTGGAAAAGAGGAGCAGGGTCTGTTGAGACATATGGCAAACAATCTTTGCTGCAAACCAGCAAGTTAAAACACATCACTACTAAAACCCATCACTACTACCACGGGGTAGGAGTACATATCCTTTTGCACAATATATTTTCAAAACATGGTCTCACCAGGAGCAGCAGGTGTGTAACTGGGGACTGCACCGGGGTTTGAACAGATAATTCGAACAGTATGAATTGGAAGGAAAGGGAGGAAGCTGGGAAAGGGGATGAAATACCATGAATTAAACTCACTATTTCCCTTAGAGTTTTTGTAATTGTTAACTTACAACTTGGGAATTTGTGAAATGTGACAAATAAGGAAGTAATTGAGAATGCCTGCTGCACTGGGACCTGTCTCTGCCGACATATGTGTAAGTAGAAATTGGCACTGGAATTAACTTCAGTGGAATTAAGCACCCATACCAACTGGAGTGAGGAATGAAGCCACAGATATAGTTGCTATGAATCTGCCAGGGTTTGGCTTTTGCTTTGGCTTGGTTTTTTATATTATGGCTTTGTTACCTAATCACCCTGTTGTGCTACGTGCATACAATACAATATATACAATATTTACAATACAATACAATGCAAAACAATACAGAATCTGTGCCCAGCACCAAAAGGCAAAGAAGTCACCATCTGTTGCTGTGTTTAGCAGAGGTTATCCCACATGGGAACAAAGACAGTGACCTCAAATGACACCAGTTTTCTGTTGCCCAGGTTCTCTGCTGTGGTGCTGTTGTTTGTGGCAGTCCCGGTGTGGCACAGGCAGGATGAAGGAGGTGTGCAGGGGAATATCCACTGGAGCCACAACGGCAGGGCCTTGGTAAGTGAGCTGTTTGTTCATGTTTTTCTACTGCATATTTGAAAGAGTCAGACCCAAACAGAACTGCCAGGACAGAACATTCCTGTGAGAAGATGAACATGGGTTGTGTGTCTCGGCTTTGCCAAAACGCTATGGAAACCACTGCTTTGGTTTGGGAATAAAGACGTAGGCACAAACACTGCCTCGGGCAGGGTGAAGACCACCCTTGGGCAGAAGTGTTTGGGAGCTGCAGTGGTGAAAGGATGGGGGTGTGCTTTGTTTTGCAGAACATTTGGGTGTGTATAACAGGCCTGTCTAAACAGAATTGGTGTGTCTGATGGCTGATCCAATATTCCAAGGAGGTCCTCTATTCAGAACTTGTTTTCCTTCCACACTTACCCTACTTTGTGTATTGTGCTAGATTATACTGGTTTCATAAGTGGCAGTCACAGTTACTGTCCATCTGGATATGTTTTGAGGCTCTGTAAAGTTTTAACAACTGTGAAGGGGGAAAATACTAAAATATGCAGCCAGTCTGAAGTGGTTATCTCGAGATTTACCCTCCTGTCGCCAGGAGGGCACAGAGCACCCTTCGTAGTCCATGTAAAATTTATTTAGGTCTGTACCTTAATAACACAGCAAGAAGCATTCTCTTGTGAGTTGAGATTATCTCCCTGAATCTGTAATCTCTTAATGAATGAAAATAATTATAATATTAAAGTCACACCAACACATCTCTACACATTCATTCAGGTCACGTACAACTGAATCAGATACTTGGTTAACTCTTGTGCTTCTCCTGTGGCTTGCTGTTAAATAAGGGGATTTTATGTTTTTCAGTGTCTTTTAATAACATTTTGGTTTGCTATAATTTATTCTCATGCTATTCACTGTGGAATGCCAGTCAGTTCTCAAAATTCTTGTACATGCTTGTCACATTTTTCACATTTAAAAAACCCTCTTTTTCATGTTATCCCAGACTAAATTACCCTGTCAATCTTTAACTTCTACCTCTGTGCTGATAGATTATGACATACATCTGGGAAGGCAAGATAGTTCTGCAAATAAACGACTCGGGTGCCCATCCTGAATCTGTTCAGTAAGGCTTTTGAGGTCAGAAGGTTTAGATTGGTCATCTGTAAGTGTAAAAGTAGGGCAGGTACTTGTGTCAGGGTCAAAGGGACTCAGGGCTTTGGGACTGCACCTCTCTCAACTCCTGCCTTCGCATCATCAGATAATTCCTGGCTTGTTTTCCTCCAGAACCTGGGCTGTTTGTGTCCTGCTCAGCAATAAGCAGTGCTCTGGGTTATTCCCAGCCATGGCACAGAACAGCACAGGACACTCAGTACCACTTTTTGCTCAGGCTTCCCATGGACGGTGGGTGACTGCAGCCCATGGCTCCCAGCAGCTTCCCGTGAACCTGCTAATGGGGTACAAGTGCAGAGCCACCAGTGCCAGGTCTGTGCTGTGCTGGGGTCATGCTGTGAGAGGAGAGTTATTGGCACAGCACGTCCAGCTGGAGCTGGAAGCAGAGTCCTTCTGCTCAGCAAGTGCTCCAAAAGGGCTGGTACGTGCCAAGTGCTGGTCCCCAGAGTGCCAGTCCATTAGTGCAGCCCTCAGTCAGCTCCAAGTCACCCTGCGGCCCAGCTCTGCTTTCAGCTGTGCTGCTCCTGAGATATTGATGAACACACAGCAGAGGAGAACCCAAATGACACGAAACTGTCTCGTTCTGATGTACAGGGCAGTTAGTTGCCAGCAGCCCCCAAAGCAAAATAATACCTGTGCTGGGAACAGTGTCAGGGCTCTTTGCACAGCAACTGAAGCCGTGCCTGCAATTCAAGTGTGATTTAAGTCTCTCTTGTTCATGCACAGCTTTCTGGTACTTCAACCCTTGCCTATCCCACATAGGGCCATACATTTTTTCCTTTGCCATCTGTAAGAGAGGATTAAACCGTGTTGGGCTGGAGAAAACCTCTTCTGCTGGGGAGGGGGAAAAAGTCACTGTGAGACAGAGGCAGAGATGCTGTTAGGACAGGGAAGGGTTTTCCTGTAGGGTCTTAGTGCCCACCTGCAATAAATTTTTATGAGGGTTTGGAGGAAACAGAGGCCTGGGCTAAGCAGCAGGTTATTGGTTTGGAAAGCTGCACAGCCCAGTTACTGGCAAATCTTTGTTTTATCCATCCTGACAGGTTCTGCCATACCATTCAGGTATGTAATTTCTCCAGTGCTGTAATATAAATCATTGTCAGGTCATCAGCATTCCCCCAGTCTTCCAAAGTATTTTTGTGTCTGCCAAAGGTTCCCACAGGACCTCTAGGCCTATAGGCTGCTATATAAGCTCCTTTAATGGGGCATGCAGTGCTGAACTGTGCTCTGCTGCAACATTCCCACTCAGAGGAAGAGGCATAAGGAATGAGATGCCCAAGAGTTATGGCTTAAGAACCATATTTAAGACCTTTAGTAATAATATGTCTTAAACCATCATAGCAAAGCAAACCAGTATTTTACTTATACAAAAGCTTTTTTTCCTTTCATTATTCATTTAAGAAAATTCCATATGAGGATCCCAGAGTAGAGTAAGAAAAACACCATCAGGAGATTGGAACCTGAACAGCTCACGTGCAACATGTGCTGGCCGTGTGTCCTCCTCTGCCTTGTTTAGTTTTTCCTTTGGGTGAGTACCTATTTCCCTCTTTTGTTCCTAAACTTACAAGAATTTTTTAAAAAACGAGATAGATAGAATTCAGTTCACTTATTATTTTGTGGGCATCTTATTTATCTCTGGGAGTTGGAATTACTGCCTCTACCATCTAATAACACAACAGAAGTCCTGAAAATAGGCAGTGGTGTCTCAGGTTGCTTTTGCCACCCCACAGTGATGCTGCCCTGCTCTTGGGCTGCCCTGCTTTGCTGAAAGTTGTGAGATCAAAGCTCCAGGCATGCTGAAGGATTTGAAGCAAAACAGGCCCTTTTATTTTCAGATCATCCCAAGGGCCTTTGAGAGCAGGAGGAAACCAAATGACAGTTAATGGATCTGGGAGGGCCTGACCTGAGGATAAGGTTAAGTGGTGTAATAATCTCCATCCTGAACTTGGGGTTGTGGAGCAGCTTCCCTAATAGTGTGCTTGGTCACAAGGTGAACCACTCTGAGCAAACCTCACAGATTTTCTGCCCGCACCACTTAGAGCAAAGCTCAGGGTTTTTGTTAAACACCTGAATCCTCCCTTAAAACGCTTCCTTTTCTTTAATTAATCACTACTTTCCTCCACATTACACTCACTGATAAACCTGACATATTTCTGTGCACTGCCCTTTCTTTGGTGCTCTGGTTTTTTCACTTCCAAAAGTGCAATGTATCACATTTTCTAGATCTAAAACATTTCTTAGTTAAATTACAGGCTTTCTTCTTTGAGAATCAAAAAAGTTAATGCATGAGTTCTCTTTGTTTGGCTTTGTTGTGAGGGAAGGGAATGGTCTGGCTGAAGAACTGTTTCTTTTGAGAGAGTGTTGGATGGCCATATCAGTCAGATTTTTGTTTTTTCTTCTTTGCCTAGAGAAACTCTGCAATTCATTAGCTAGTTTTATCTTTCTTTCAATGTCCTCTTTATGCTTGTTGTTAAGACCAGTGTAGGCAATATTATCCACAAACCTCATTAAGGAAAAATGTTTTAATGTCCTTTTCTCAGAGAAATTACACATATTTCCAGTGCAGAAAAAAGAGCTGAGCTAAATTCAGAATTTCTCTAAATAAGAAAGAGACTGTTGGAGTCTCTTCTCAAGAGAACCCATGAGGATTTATGCCCTAGTGACTTGGAAATTATTTATCTCCAATCTACAATGTCCTAGCCATATTCTTGGTATATTATTGGGCTGAAGAAGCTCTTTAGCTTTCAAGGCTTAACACTGACTCACTCTCAGTGAAGTACAATGGTGCTGCAAAATATCAGGCAATGGAATTGATAACAGGATCAGTCAAAAGAAACACTGGGGTAGGAGACCAGCACTTGGTATGTAGACAAGGAAAGCCTTGCACCCGAGCTGAGAAAAGCAGAGGGAACCTGAGGAATAGGCTACACAGCCAGGTAGATGGCCAAGAGAAATGGAAAGGAATTGAAAAACAGAGAGCATAAAAATAATCCTTCCGAGAGCCAGGATGAAAAGGCTGCTAAGAAACGGGTGGCAGCCACAATCCAAAGGTACTGTATTTGTAACAAAGGTACACAGGTATTTCACTCTGGTCCTCCATGATTTGTACCGATAAGAAAAGTGCAGTCAGAAGGTTTTGAGAGATTTACAGAGTAGCTCCCCCTTGAAGGTGTTCATCTGAGCGAAGGAAAGGCAGGAGGGGATTCAGAAGTGGATGCAAGTAGTTTACAAGACAGGCATTAAAGATAACATGCTTTTGTTCTGTGTGCAGCCCGAAAAGCCATGGGAAGAACCTGCCACCTCCACCAGTTGTGCCAGAAAACTTCTTTCCTGAACAAGTCGCGTGTGATTGATCTCTGAAGCAACTGCTGGGTTACAATCCCACAAATGACATGGAATTGCTGCCTGCTCGTGTTCTCCGGTAAGTTCAGCACTTTCATTTCATTTAGGCTGCAGCTGTCATGGCTCATGCTTTCAGCCCTGGGAATCCTCTGTGTGGCCCTTTGTGGCCCTGTACAAATTCACTTTCAGGATTTTGTGCCAAGGGATCTTCTCTTCTAGTTAAGCCTCAAAAGTTCAGGGTATCTTCAGTTTGGTTGATGTCCCTGAAGCGAGGAGGAGCACAACAGTACAGACAGATCACACTCCCCAGAGCCCCCAGCATGGTTAATAACTGAGGTGCTTTAGGCTTTCAGACTGACACAGAGATGTTGTGTCCTTGATGTCTCTATTTTATGGTATCACAAGACCGAGTAGGAGCTCACCCCTCTGAACCCCTTGTCAGTGGTCATTCCCACAGGCACATCTGAGCACCCTGATTTGAAGTTCTAAAGCATTATATAAATATCCCTAGCAGGGAAAAAAGTGAAAGAAATAAGTTCAGTATTAAAAAACAATAAGAAGCATAGCAGAAAGGATAATGAAAGATTGGAAATGATTTATGGGTGTAATGGATCACTCTATATATCTTTACAGAAAGAAAATATCCAAATTACCTCAGCTTTAATAGTCATATTCCCAGTGACTGCAGAGGAAGAACTTTTAAATGTATGTATAAGACTGGAAATGGTTATAAAAGATCAGAGGCTTTTCAAAATTCACTGTGTACCAGGTCTAGTGAGTGCAATGCCAAGAGTAATATATAAAATCTGATCTGACAGTTTCATAATTTTCCTTTGTTTGAGGAGATCCCTGTGCAATGCAAACGCACAGCATCGTGCCAGGACTAAGAGGAACAGTTAGTGGAAAGGACTTGGAGGTAATGACCACTGGGCAGTTTCTCACTGGCAAAATATAAAAAGAAAATGAAGAATTAAGTCCATTAAGAAATCCCCAGGCACATGGTTTAGATTAAAGGACACTCCTTTCAGCCAGGAGGCTGGAAGGTTGATGTAGCACTGCTCATGCAGATGTTTGGAAAGTATTTCACAAACTCTTAATTTTGGAGAGTGCTTCTAAAGGCTGTTGCTCTTCCACTGCTCTGTGCCACCTCCAATTTATCTTAAGCATAAAATGGGAAAAAACCAGAAACTACAGCTTTTAATAAATAGGAGAGGTCTTTTTAAAGAAACACAATAAAACATAGGATGTTATGGTTCTGAATCCTGTAGATCCAGTACCTGTAGAAGGCTGGCAGGTCTCCTTTTACCTATGAGCAATAAAAATGAAGTCAAAGGAAATCTGTCAGAACTCAGCAAGTTTAGTTCAATCCCTTGGTTCATATTGGCTACATGTGAACAGTGCTTAGAGCAGTAAACTGCTATACTGAAGTCCTGGGAGTTCAGACTTGGTTGTGTGGTTTGTCTTTAAAAATCTGGTTCTATATTATGCTCCAGGTAGTGATTTTTACCAAGATTCTGTACCTGGCAACAGTACCTGAGCCCATCTCTGAGTGAATCCAGCCCAGCTCTGACCATCTCTAACAAACACTAAGCACACAGGAAGATTACTGAGGTAAGATCTCAAGTAAGGGAGCTTGTGTTTGGGCCACATTCTGGGTCTATGCTCTGAGGTTCTGCTCATTAGTTTTGCAACTTTTTTTGTTAAATTCCGACTTCAACTTGAAGAACACTCAAAGCTCCTTGTCAAGTGTAAGGGTGAGAACTCTGTCTTCTCTCAGACAGAAACAAATCTGCTTCCTGGTGCCAGTTCAGCTCTGGCAAAAGGACAACCCAGCTCTGCTGATGTTCTCCATACTACATTTTCCTACAGGAGAAAGGAAATGATGAATATTGCTGTTCCCCTGCCTGCTCCCCCTTTCTGACTCTCTGCATTTTTGGGCATGTTTTCTGATCATCTCTCCAAGTCTCTCCCTCATTGTCTGGAGAAGGTGTTACCTAATGGCAATTCCCGAGGAAACAGTTTCTCCTTTCCTAACCACATTTCATTGTCCCAAGTGCAAGATGTGATGAGGGATGGCTCTTGTCCTAATGAAAGGGAGTGAAGGTTCCATTGACTTCACCGGGGTCAAAACTTCACCCTCAGGGACCTATTGGTAGAAATGGGAGGGAATTTCCATTTTCACAGAGAATTTGTAACCCCTTAATTGTGTTGAAACCTCCAATATTTCCTTCACGGGGCAAAGTTCGGATCTTCTTTCAGATGAATGTAGTGGCTGAGCATCATCTGCTGCTGCAAAGCCTTTACAAGTGACTTAAAACTAGAACAGGCATCAAAGAGAAGCAGGGTGGGAAAGGGTTGTTTGCTATTAAACACCAACACAAACCCAGCTTTTTGTCTGTGCCCTTCCCCCTTTTTGTTCACACACTCCTCTTCACCCTGCAGACAGCCTTAGAATGCTAATTCTTCTAATCACTGTTGGAGAATGAAAACTATTCTAGAAATCAACTGAAATATTATATTAAACCCTGTTTAATGAGACAGGATCCACACCTATAAATGAAGTCCTAATCTTAACTTCCAAGACAAGGGTGTGGGAAGCACCAATACAACCTGACACATTCACATTCAAAGCAAGTATTTGAAAGCAGTTTCAAAAAGGGCTGTTGTTTAACACGTACTGGCAGGTGGGATTTATGAAGAAATGGTTTTAAATAAAAGTCTAATTGTCCTCTTTTCACAGATGTTCAGGATTTCTCTTCACAAAGCAGATGATGCAGGTGCTCTGAAAGATTCGGTGAAATGACAGTGTAATGATCAAGATCTGATCGTGTTATTCCACCGGTTTGTGAACTTTAAGGTATTCAATTATTCTGTTTTTTCTCATGGTAGAATCTGTATGCATGTAACCCTTGGTTAGCACTAATAACAATATGAAACCCTTCCCACATCAAAGCTGTGACTACGTGCTTTTGTCTGTCCCAATGGTTTGAGAGAAAATCTTGATAAATCAACATGAGTTTTTTTTCTTTTTTCCTTTTTTTTTCTTTTCCTCTTTCTTAAGATTTGTTGTCTTGATTAGATAAAAAATAATAGGGGGCTGTCAATCTGTTTTCTTTTCAGGTCTTCTCTGCCTCTTTCCAAATTAGTTACAGCCTGCTTTTTGTAGCTTTATAGCCAGCCTGACCTAATTTAATTACCATGACTTGTGTGGCTTAAAGATAAATAGTTTTATTCAGTCTGCCTACTTTTGTATGAGTTTTCCCTTTCACACATCTCCCTATATTTTGGCATTGAGAATTCTTGTCCTGTGTTGTGGGGTAGGTTACCACAAGGTTAGTTTGTAGCATTGTCCATATTTTCCCACAAAGGCCTTTGATGCAGTCAGTCCCTGCTTGTGCTGGGAGTCTTTGTGGGACACAACTGAACGGGAGCTGGGGAGGCACGGCATGGGAAATACATCCTTATGCCATCATCCTCCAAGCTTGTTCCTGTCCCACCACTCTCTGAGGGTTTTTGCTTATTTTAGGAAAATACTTCAGAAATCACAGCTTGGGGTTTCTTCCCTACAGATTATTTTAAGCTGTGCCATAGGGTGGATGGAAGATCTGCAGCAACGTAACTTTGTAACACGAAAAGGCAAGTGCTTTACACACAGATGTGTCCCCATAAATCCATGAGCTTCATGCCAAGAACATGGACAAATATTTCTACCACCCTGGCTGGCCACCTAGAAGTACAAAAAGCGAGCAAGCAGCTTATACAACTGCAAAATCTACTTAAAAGAAGGCATTTAACATGTTCCTTCCTCTCTGGGAAAAGGGAGAAACACTGACCAGGAAAACAGGGCTGATAGTAAATGTTTTGTTGGGTTTTTTTTTAAATGATTAAATATCCTACATTCCCATAATCACTGCATTGTTTTATAATCTCACAGAAACATTCAGAATTTGTGACTAAGAGTAAAGGGTAAAAAATTATTAAACCTGTTACATTCCAGTAAAAACTGCAATTTTTTATGATCTCACAGATACCATCCAGAAATCATGACTGATAGTAAGTGATAAAAGATGATTAAATCTGTTCCATTCCCACAATCACTGCATTTTTTTATAACCTCACAGAAACATTCAGAAATCATCACTGATAGTAAATGGTAAATTATTAAATCTGTTACATTCCCATAAAAACTTCTTTTTTTTTTAATATTTTCACAGATCACATTCAGAAATCATGACTGATAAGAAATGGGTTTTTTTTAAAAAAAAAACGTTTAAATCTGATAAATTCCTATAATCATGCTTTTTTTTTATACTCTCAGAGGTAACATCCAGAACTAGTGACTGATAGTAAATTATAAAAGATGACTAGATCTTTTACATTCTTGTAATCACTGCATTTTTTTATCTCACAGAAAAATTCAGAAATCATCACTGATAGTAAAGGGTAAAAAATTATTAAATCTGTTACAATTCCATAAAAACTTGAATTTTTTATTAATCTCACAGAAAACATTCAGAAATCATGGCTGATAATAATTGGTTTTTTGTTTGGTTTTTTTAATGTTAAAATCTGTTACATTCCTGTAATCACTGCATTTTTTTTATACTCTCAGAGGTAACATCCAGAATTAGTGATTGATAGTAAATGATAAAAGATGATTAAATCTGTTCCATTCCCATAAAAACCTGAATTTTTTAATAATCTCACAGATCACATTCAGAAATGATGACTGAAAATAAATGGTTTTTTGTTGGGTTTTTTTTTAAATGTTTAAATCTGTTACATTCCTGTAATCACTGCATTTTTCTTATAGTCTTACAGGTAACATTCAGAATTAGTGACTGATAGTAAGTGATAAAAGATGATTAAATCTGTTCCATTCCCATAATCACTGCATTTTTTTATAATTTCGCAGGTAACATTCAGAAATCATCACTGATAGTAAATGGTAAATTATTAAATCTGTTCCATTCCCATAGGAACTTGAATTTTTTAATAATCTCACAGATAACATTCAGGAATCATGACTGAAAATTAATGGGGTTTTGTTGGGTTTTTTTTAAATGTTAAAATCTGTTACATTCCTGTAATCACTGCATTTTTTTATACTCTCAAAGGTAACATTCAGAATTCATGACTGACAGTAAGTGATAAAAGATGATTAAATCTGTTCAATTCCCACAATCACTGCATTTTTTTATAATCTCACAGATAATGTTCAGAAATCATCACTGAGAGTAAATAGTAAAAAAAAAGATGAAATCTGTTGCATTCCAATAAAAACTTCATTTTTTTAATAATTTCACAGATAATATTCAGAAATCATGACTGACAAGAAATGGGGTTTTAAAAAAATCGTTTAAATCTGTTATATTCCTGTAATCACTGCATTTTTTTATACTCTCACAGGTAACATTCAGAATTAGTGACTGACAGTAAGTGATAAAAGATGATTAGATCTGTTCCATTCCCACAATCACTGCATTTTTTTATAATTTCACAGAAACATTCAGAAATCATCACTGATAATTAATTTTTTGTGGTTTTTTTTAATGTTTAAATCTGTTACATTCCTGTAATCACTGCATTTTTTTATAATCTCACAGATAATGCTCAGAAATCATCACTGAGAGTAAATAGTAAAAAAAAAGATGAAATCTGTTACATTCCCATAAAAACTTGAATTTTTTAATAATTTCACAGATAACATTCAGAAATCATGACTGATAAGAAACGGGGTTTTTAAAAAGAAAAGTTTAAATCTGTTATATTCCTGTAATCACTGCATTTTTTTTATGCTTTGAGGTAACATTCAGAATTCATGACTGATAGGAAGTGATAAAACATGATTAAATCTGTTCCATTCCCCCAATCACTGCATTTTTTATAATCTCACAGATAATGTTCAGAAATCATCACTGAGAGTAAATGGTAAAAAATTATGAAATCTGTTACATTCCCATAAAAACTTGGATTTTTTAAAATAATTTCACAGATAACATTCAGAAATCATGATTGATTATAACTTTTTTAAATGTTAAAATCTGTTACATTCCTGTAATCACTGCATTTTTCTTATAGTCTTACAGGTAACATTCAGAATTAGTGATTGACAATAAATGATAAAAGATGATTAAATCTGTTCCATTCCCATAATCACAACATTTTTTTATAATTTCGCAGGTAACATTCAGAAATCATCACTGATAGTAAATGGTAAATTATTAAATCTGTTCCATTCCCATAGAAACTTGAATTTTTTAAAATAATTTCACAGATAACATTCAGAAATCATGACTGATTATAACTTTTTTAATGTTAAAATCTGTTACATTCCTGTAATCACTGCACTTTTTTTATACTCTCACAGGTAACATTCAGAATTCATGACTGATAATAAATGGGGTATTTAAAAAAATATTTAAAATCTGTTAAATTCCTATAATCACTGCATTTTTTTTTGTACTCACAGAGGTAACATTCAGAATTAGTGACTGATAGTAAATAATAAAAGATGATTATATCTGTTCCATTCCCATAATCACAACATGTTTTTATAATTTCACAGGTAACATTCAGGAATCATGACTGATAATAAACTTGTTTCTTTAAAATTGATAAAATCTGTTACATTCTTGTAATCACTCCATTTTTTTATTATCTCATTCAGAAATCATCACTGATAGGAAATAATAAGAAATGATTACATCTGTTCCATTCCCCTAATCACTGCTTTTATTTTCTGTAATCTCACAGATACCACTCAGAAATCGTGACTGACAGGAAATGGTTTCTTTAAAAAAAGATTAAATCTTTTACATTTCTGTAATCCCTGTGTTTTTTTTAAGACTACCTCCATATATGTTTAATCTGTGTACACTAAATACATTTTGCTGTAGTTTAAGAACAATTCTGTTGAGACTTGCTGCAGTTTTTAATACAAATGTAGATACCTCATTGAGTGTCATCTCTGTGTCGTGTTGATGCTGCTGGAAGAGCCTCTGGCTTTCTTTTCTGAAGAGACACGTACTTGGGTTTAAAATCAGTATATCTGAGGTCATAGGAAAGGAAATTTCCAGCACTAATTCTGACCTACCACAGATTTTAGCAGAAAGAACAAACCATGAAACTTAACTTAAAAGGAAACCCAACAACTGTGTTTTATGAATCCATGTGCAATTTTTTTGTTACAAGGAAATAAAATGCCAGACACCTCAACGTTGCTCTCCTGTGTTTAATTCTTCGGAGCTACTTTTTAAATTGATCTCCCAGTACTTGATCTCATCCCACCCTTGTTATTAAACTAACAAAAGCAGTTTATACCACCACACTATATAAGCATAGTAGTAAAATAAAAACTTTCAAGCATTTGCTTCACCCTGTTGGACACATTTACCTAAAATCACATTCATGTTCTTTATTAAATACAATTCCATACATATCATTTTATTTCAATATATAAACCCAACTGTAATATTCAAATGCCTCGTTTCAGTATTGTTGGTCTATTTATCTGATGGCAATATTCCTGCACAGCTTACATGAACCTAACCTGAATAATGGGAAAGCTCCCAGGAAACTGATTTGCTTCAGAACAGATGATGATAACATTCTTGTAGGTGCAGGAAAAAAAATCCCATCCAAACCCTTCATATAAACTTTTCAAGAAATATTGCAATCAATCCTCGGCAAAATCAAGTGAGGTAACACATTTTGATAAAATTTAAATCTTCAGGGCCTGAGGGCCTATTTCTCATACAAAGAGAGGAATTCTAAGAAATCCAGTTGGAGAAAATCCAGTTGGAGAGTTCTGACTGGTTCATCCACTCTTTCCCATTCTCTTTTTCCTATTTAATGGTATTTATTTGGACCTTTTCCTTGCCTGAACTGTATATAACTCAGGAATACAAACAGACCACTGCTTGACAGTTAAGGCAGCTGCTATCCTTGCTTTTAGACCTACCTCTTTCCTGGGTGCCATTGCCTCTGGAGAAGGAAAAGAGGAGCCAGAAGGGACAGGGGAGCAGTTCCTAAATGGCTCAGGCTCAGTTTATACTGGTCACTTATATCTACAGCCTGATAATTTAAAAAAATGAACACTGTGTGCACCAGCAGTGGATAAAAACAGCAGAAGCAGGAACACATAAATTAGGGTAGGAAATACGTGTGGGACACAGAAATCTGCTGAAGGACTGAAATGAGAGTTACCTGGGCTCTTCCAGAGGTTCTGCTGACAAAGGCAAAGTGTTCCTGGCAACAGTGATTGATCACTTCTGCTCTTCTTTCCAGGAAGGTGAAAATCTGTTTCTTTTATGTGTCCAGAGTATTTTTATTTTAAATGTTTCACAGAAGGTTACATCTTGCAGTCTGAGAGCAAAATGGTCCTTGATCTCATTTGGTGTCTATAGATGGTTTCATTTTACCTAAAAGCAATATAAGAGCCTCCACGGATGAATTTTAGAAAAGGTCCTTCCTTATTTACATATCTATCTTTGTTATATCCGGTACAAAAATAATGTCAGAATGAGATATGCCATGAGGGAAAAAAAAAAAGTACAGATTATTCCCTGATCTGAATGTGCATCAGACACTGGCTGCATTTGGCAGAAGTGCACATCTGATTGTTACTGCAGCCAGATTCCAGGAAATAAAGGGCAGAATGTGGCACAGATTCCACTGCTCTGATCATGCACAGAAACCAGCTGATATTTTGAGGTTCTGAGGTTACAACATGTGGCTCTTCTAAAGCACAGCCTGCAACCTCGAGGGGTTTGTTTTGTTTTCCAGCTGGAATCTGACATGCATTACATGCGAACATTTGGAAGTCATATTGATCATCATGCATTACATATAATTGCTTTAACTTTCATAGCATGCAGTCATTAAACTGACTTCCAGAATAATAGAGCACGTTAGAGAACCCTTGCCCGCATGTGACCCAACAAAGAGGAGTAAGTGTGGTGTCCAACTCTACAAACAGTGTTTACTGCAGTGTGGATGGATACATACCCTTTCCAAATCAGTGCTGATGCTTCCAAAGGAAGGGCTGCAGAGGAAGCAGGTCAGCCTGTGATCTGTGAAAAGATACACACACGTAAGGACAAACTATTTCTGGCACACTCAATGTTCTCTGAACAGCAGGGAGAGATCTGATATGTAAAACAGTAGGCCCCAGCCAATTAGTCTGTGGCAGATAAGAACCTCTCCTTAATTTGTGCTGTTGGGTTTGTGTATGTGGTTGTTCCTTTCTTACTTCCCTAAAGCCCAGTTTTTATCAGCTGGGATGCTGGCATTCTTTCCAGGTGCAGCAAGGCATTTGGAAGGAATGAAGTATGATAGGGGGGCCTTGCTTCTGTCATAAGGGGAGCAATGATTTTGTAGTTCTACTGCTCAAAAAAAAAAAATCTGTGAACAAGGGAACTAGCTCCTTTATTATCCACACAAGTGCACCCTTTCAAAGCATCACGAGGGACTCAACAAGTAACATCCATTAATATCTGACAGCAGCAAAGCTCAAGAAATCAAAGACTTGGAAATCTGCCCTGTCAGAGTGGTGCAGAAAAAGTTACTATAAAAATAGTCAAGGGGAGTTTAAAAAATCTCCTCCATCATGAATATCTTGCATCACTTTTTATATCTCTGCGCTGCTACATTCCCCAAGTTAAGAAAACTAAAGTTCTTCTAAGCCAACATCCCCAAGGCACATAAAGACCTGTGGGGCATGTTGTTGAGATGGCAAATTCACTCCACACGTTAGAGGAACTTTTAAAATTTTAAACTAGTACTTGCATTATTCCACTACATCAGCAAAAGCAGCACCTCACACTTTTCTCAGTAAGAATTTAACAGCATGAACCTAAATTTTCATTTGACATAAAAAAAAACCAAAAACATTTACAGTTCTTTTTGGTAGAGAAAGAATTTTTTGAGGCCTCACAGGTGGGATTTTTTTCTCTCTCCTTGTTGTTAACTTGATTTATTTTTACATATCCTTAGAAGCTGCAGTCAAACTTCACACAAAAAGTATTTCCAACAAAAAAGGTTCATGCTTCTGGATAGAAAACAAGTAAAAGATTCAAATTCCTCCTTTACTTCCATGACCTGGGGCAGCTCCTGCTGCCTTTAAAGTATTGCAGTACTTCTCCTGTCCCTGGTGATTGTTATTAATACAGTTTAGGGAAAGTGGTGATAAAGATCAATTCCTTACCCAGAAAAGAAACATTAACTGCTTCTTTCATGTCTTCCATAGCGAGGGAGCAGCTAGAGTTCCAAATGATCCCCAGATGTTCAGTACTTCTGGTGCTCAAAAGCAGGGAAGGTTTTCTCCAGAGCCAGGGTGGGTATTTCTGGTTATCCCACAGACTCCAACCTCTTGTCCTCAGAAGAAAACGTGAAAGAAAAAAGGTCAAAGAAAAAGCCTGTGTGGTGTAGAAGTCCCCAAGGAAAAATAAACCAAGGATGGTCTCTTACCATTGGCCAACTTAAGCTATACCTCTGCATACTAAACAAAATATTCAAGGAATTCCTGCAGAGATGGGCATATGAACACTACAAGCTTTTCACTTAATTACAGGAAGATTTAATGAGTCCAGTAAAAGAATAACTGCTGAGGTCTCTCATAAAAACTATTCTATTTTTCTGGATATTTACAGCAGTGTTTTCCTCTTTCTTTATTCTTTCTCAGAGTTTGGACACAGTATAGTCCACCTACATTTGTAAACATGATTCCTAACAGAAAAAATGGGGAAAAAAAAAGATCTCCTCCTTAGCTACTACAAGAATAATAAGAACAATTTTCATTCTGCTTCTCTTTCCTTTGCACTTTGTTCTAATCATTCTCTGGTGATATGAAGTCTTACCTTTACTAATGCTTAGTCCCACTGGAAGCAATTAATGCTGATAAATAATATATAAATAAATATATATAATATATATTTAATATATATACACAAATATATAAATAAATAAAACCAGACACTTTCTAAGAGCTTTAAACAGATTATTATCTGAAGAGCCCAACAATTTTGTTGTTATGATAACCAGGTAATAAAGACAGCACAGGAACATGCCATATAGGACATTAAAATACTTCACCTTCTGGGTCTGCACTGTTCCTTTCCCTCTCACTTTCTGAGGAGCACTGCCCAAAAGATTTAGTGCTGCATGAACAGCAGAGACACAGACAAAATGTCCCAAATCATGGTAGGACTCAAGTCCAATCTCTCACACCTGCTATGACGTAATGACAAACAAAAGCCCCTGATCCTGATTTCAGAGCAGTTACTCTGATGAGCACTCACATAAACTGAGCTGGGCTCCTCTTTTTAATGAATCTTTAAAGATGCCACTTTGACTTCATTAAATCAGACCATTTGGAAATTAAACATTTATGTGTATTGTTACATTATTTCTTTCATGCCAAATAGGCAGGATTAAAATTGACTGCTCTGGTCACGTGCAATGGTCACAATTATCCAAGTTGTTCAACCTCTGCAGGATCAGAACCAAAACACTATCATCTGAGAAGGTGGTAGGATGGCCTTGCATTCACTGTGTTCCCAGTGGGAGTAGGGAGTTCTCCCAGTCAGAACCCTGGCTCAACATAAAGCTACTCTCTATTCTACTGCAAAAATATTACACAGGAAATAATGCATTTATGAGCAGAACAGTACCTAGTTCACGTTTTCATCTGTTAGCATATAAATGTTAGGAATGTTGAGTTAATAATCTGTTCATCCTTGACTACTGTTAGTCACGGGTTTGTTCAAACTGACCTGTAAATTCACTTATTCAATAACTCTAAACTACATACAATCTTATTTTTATCAAAATCCTGTTACTTACCGATATATTTCACTCAGCTTGTCAAAACCAGGTGGAAATACAAACACCCCAGACAGAGGTCTTCCAGTGTAAAGAGGCCAATCTTGCTGCTGAGAAACCTGAAAGAAACAATGAAGTGCATCATTGATTCTCTGTTTATTGGGAAAAGGCACATTTGTAAGTCTTAAGAAGTAAATACAAATTGGAATCTCTCTTCCATAGCCATGAAATGGAATTGTGGGAGAGGCACTAGAACTATGCTGACAATCTGGTATTGTGGTTTGCTGAGAGAAAATGGGAGAACAGCTGGAAAGCAATTTCATTAATAATTTCCACCCTGTTTCTCCCTCTTGCAATTCACTTCATTTCAGGCTTTCCTTCCCCATTCCCAAGTCTTTCACATTTTTGTTTTAGCACTTTAAGAAGTCTTTCATTTACAGATTTCCCCTTCTTTCCCCCTTTTTTTGCCTGTTTCATTTCCCTCCCACTCTACCTCAGGGGCAATCACTGTTCACAATTAGCTAGATGGCTACAGAGAAGAAACACAAAGAAAAATACATATAATAATTACAAAAATAATTTTTTTAACTTAAAGAATTGCAGAAGTTTCTCCGTTTGAAAATCAGTTTCATTGATGGGGATCCTGCTTCAAAAAGAAATTGTCTTGTTAATTATTAAAATTTTGCTCCAAAATACCAATCACCTCAGCTATAAATAAGCATGGGACCACTTGGCTACCTGTCACCAGCTTCACAAAAAACATCCTTCTGTTTGCCAAAGCAGTCACTACTCTCAGATATTATTAAACTGCAGAGGCTGTGGGGCTTTTTAAAATATTATTTCATGTTCAAGATTATTAATGAGTCCTTTCTAGGTGTTATTTTTGTATCAATTAGCTTGTGTTTCCCATCCGAATTCTCAGTGAGGCTGCAGCTGCAGTGTGACCTCAAACCTTTCTTTATTCCCCTCCCTTTTTTTTTTTTTTTTTCAATTTTTGTTACTTAGCAGGGATTTTAAGATAGGAAATAACAGGAAGTTTATTGGGGTTGAAGACAATCCCTAGTGGTACACACTTGAGCTGGGGTGTAGCTGTTAATATGTCTGGGACCTGATTCCCCACAAGTGAGAGTCAGCCAGAGAGCCCTCTCACTCCAGGCAAAATAATGGTGAGGGTAAATGTCCTGGCACCTGGAAAATCACCTGTGATGCTGCATCTCACCAAACTAGACCTAGTTTAACAACTTTCTTAAAATGTACAGACTTCTAAAATTAGAAATTAGGAAAAGCTGGAACAGAAAAATGTGGTGGAGATGGGCAAGATGACTGTGAAATAAAATAAACAGGCTTTAACAGAAAGCAGAAAGCTCAGGTTGTCCTTATATGATTCAAGCTACATTTACAAGTGAACATACTTTCTTATCATAAATATTATAAATATATATATATATAAAAATATATAAATATATTATAAGGATCTCCACTGACCACATTTTATATGAAACTGGAGAACAGTCAGTTATTTATGATAGAAATGAGAAGATGAAGTGCTTTGCAGAAGCTCATAGAACCCACTGTAACACTTTTGGCTCGCTGGACACTCTGAAGTAGAACCTGAACACTTCAGAACGAGTTAACCCAGCTCAAGAGTCTTTGAAATTGGCTTTTGTTCGTCACCCATGGGCTCTCGTGACTCCTCCCCCTTTTCTGCACTCTCTGTTATTATTCATGATCTGTCAGCAGCCAAGGAATTCCTCTGGGTTTCAGTGATGAAGTGCTTCATTTGGACTAATTGTTTCATTTACTTTAAAAGAACAAAGAAATATGTCAAAGCACATTTACTCCTTTGGGGCCACTTTTGGATATCTGTTGCAAGTTTTTAAGGGGTTTGGAGCTGAAAACTGAAGATTTAAGTTCCAAAAATACGTTAAGTCAAAACATCACCCACTACAGATATTAAAGACACATGGGGAAGAGATCATCAAAGCTTTTGCCTTTCTGCTGCTGCACATTTCACCTGAATGTCACCAATTTTCCCAGAGTACCTTGGCACATCTCAGATATGACCCCACGGAATTCAAGCTCTTCAACCTCTCCTCCCCAAACAAACGATTTTGTTTCCAGTCCCAAACTTCTGCCCTATTTCTGCCATCCTGATGTCCTCCTGTACCAGCTTATCCTGTTTCTGCTCTCACCCTCTGCTTTACTCCCAGCTGACCTGTGTGTCACCCTGGTCAATCATCTCTAACTCATCTGCTGGAAAACATTAAACTCTATGTTCACCTCATTTATCATGGGTTGTAAAAATGTGCTTCGGGTTGAGGATATTCTGTCCAAAAATATATTCAAAAATCATTATTTTACTGTGTATTTTTCCGTGGATTGTTCCTGGACTGGTATCCATTTACACTGCTCTCCAGTCTCCCATCCCAGTGCCTGTGAGCCTAACAAATTAAAACTTTAGTACCAAGAGAAGGTAATGGACCTTTTTATTATGAGCTTTTATGGCATTATTTCCTTACTGTATCAGTACTCAGAAGAATGTGAAACTGCCTTTCACAAACCACTCTTGCTGTATAAAGACCTGAGCTCCAGCTCGTACTTTAAGGAGCAAAAAGGATTTTAACACTGTAAGATAAATGGGATGGAGCTGTCCAGGCTCTCTCCAGGAACCACAGGAAGATCTTGGATAATTTTCCAACAGCAGGTGAGCGAGTCCCACGCAAGAGCAGCCCTTCCTCCCTTCTCATGTGATCAGCTGACACTTGAATACAAACTCCCAGTCTACTCCAAATGTAGAGATGCACAGAAAGCTAACAGTTACATTTAAATGTTAGTCTGATTTCAAGTTAAATAATGAATTAAAGTATGTTCTGATTTGCTAATGTATCATTTTCTTTAAGACCTGTTCATGTTTCAAAAGGGATATATGTATTAATTCTCAACTGTAATATCACATCATTCCCTCCGTCCACCCTTATACTATTCCTTGTTCCTACAGGCAAGGAAATACTCAGGTTTTCACTTCTCTAGCTTTATGATTTCCCCCAGTTTCCTATCCTCAGGTTTACTCAAGGCAGCTTCCTCAGATCAGCCACCTTTTTCTGACAGAAAACCAAGAAAGAGCCTGAGGCTTTCCTAGTAAAACATGCACATCCCCACCTCAAAAACCTTGCTGAGCACAGGTTTTTTTGCTTTCATTCTTCATTCATGTTATTCTAACAGTTTCAAGGAAGTAGTTCTTGGTACTCTGGTACAGTACAACTTTTGAGCAATTTTTGCTCCAGGTCAACAGGGTTTTGTTTCTTTACCAGTTTCAGACTCTATCCCCACCTCTTTACTTTCTGTCTTTCAAGGCAAAGAAGTAGTTTGTCAGTGGTTTTGGTTTTCTTCTTTTCTTGTCTTTTGTACAGCCTGACTCTTCACACTCTAGCTTCCTTCACATGGTATTTGCAATGCTTTGATCATTCCCTCCCCTCATTATTTTGTTCCTCCGCTGGGAAGGATACATTAACACTAGAAACCTTCCACTCTAGGTAAGAGGGCAACTTTCTCCTTGGAGACACTGTCTGTCCGGTTCAGTTTTACATTTTGCCTTGTTATTGGTGTTGACAATGAACACTGGGCTACTTATGGAATCTGGGGACATAATTCTCACCATAAAACATTCACTGCAGTAAACTCAGTCCAGCAAACAAATTGATGTATACAAGGGGAACAATATAAAAGCTATCAGCAGGGCACAGGCTCATTTTATGCATACGTACAGTTTGCATATTATGGGACTCAACAGCACTCAAGTTTCCAATAACTCCTTTTTTTTTGCTTGACCAATTTTGTTCATTACTTACAGGTCCCCACAGAATTCAGAGCTGTTATTACCAACATATACATTGCAGAAGGAGCACAGCCTGACATGCATAGCTGCTTAATAAGGTTTTCATCAGCTGCTTTTACTGACATTTTTCATTTCTCTCATGCCCTGCTTTTAATGTCCCAGCCTTCATTTGATACCATAAAACAAAAGGAGTGGAGTATTGCCACAGAAAAGTGTTCGTGGTTGAATTTAAAAAGAATCACACAATGCACTTGAAGCATGAAGGCTCCATAGGCAATTTGCCTTCCTGTTTCCATATGCAGTCTACACTAGCAAAGTTATCCTCTTTTCCCATATCAGATAAATCAGATTAAAAAAAAGCATTGTCAAAGCTTAGATTCATAAGTGAAAATAATCCACAGTGAGTTTTAAGTGTAACATTCAAAAGCAAGCCTGCATATTCGTGCAAGGAATTCTGTGCTATTTTCCAAGGACTGCATTTGTGAAACTGCACACCACTGCTTGATGTTCTGAACTCACCCCTCTCAAAGGACATGAGTCAAATGTCCTTTTATCACTCAGGAGTCATTGGGAAGTTCTAAATTTTGATTATTTGAGGTAACAGAGTTGGTAAAAATAAAAAGCAGTTCTCTGTCCTACCAAGATGGCAATAAAGTGAGTGCCTGAGGGTTGTCAGTTCAGATCCATTAGGACCTGAGGCAGGTTTAGCCTGGCTCTGGGACACAGCTCTGACTCACACCAAAAAGCATATTTAGGTGGGACTACACTTACTGAGGAGTGGTCTGTACCCAAAATCAAACTGTTTATCACAATGCAAACATTTACAGAAAAGTAAAAACCTGCTAATATTTTCAACTCATCAGTGTCAGCAGTAGTGGTGTGTGTATACCCCTAGTACATATTTTTCTGTGTGTTTTCTACTTTGCTGTGGGGTGTAACTCTTCAGCATGAGATGCCTTATGATATAAAGAGGAGAAAGACAGCGATGCCTCACACTCTGTGGTCAAAGGAGGTGACCAGAAAGCTTTCCTACTGATTCAAACCTGCTGCAAGTCCACTTCTATTCCCCTCAGTGGATTTCCATCAATGCCCATTCTCAGTAAACCTCTCCTCTCCTGAGCTCACAGCCTGGCTTTGTCCCAGCCACGCTCTACCTCCAGCAGCTGTGACAGACGAGGGATTCAGGTTCCCAACTCCTTTACTTGCATTTGGAACAGGCTATAACATTCTGGGCAAATGTGGTTTATTTTCTTGATCCCCATAAATATCAGCTGGCACCAGGAAACCTGAGCTGCCTTTGCTCAGATCTGATACCCAGCACTGCTCCCAGCACTGCCAGAGGAGGGTTGTGTTGAAGGGCCCTGGACAGCTTTGGAGACGGCAGTGCCAGCACACCTCAAAACCATCTAAAAAGTTGACTGTTGAGACAAATTTCTCAGGATGTGTCCAACAACAGCACAAAGAAAAGTTGTGAAGGGCAGGGGGGAAGCTGGAAGGAAAAAACCAAGAGGCTAAAAAGTCTGGAGTTGGTGTTCATTATTATAAATATTGCCTAGTTTTTCTGTCAAGACCTCTCTGTTCATGGGGCATGCAGGGTGCTTGGTCTCTTACCTATAATGGGGAGGCAACACATCCAGAATTAGTCAGAGAGAGTCTGTCAACTTAAACAATTCCCAAGTGCTCTGATACCTTGTAACTTGGCAAGGAAACCTGCTGCCTACAGATACACCTCTTAACATCTGGGGGGGGTGATGATTCTGCCCATGTGCTGCTGCATTCCCACTCACAAAGACAGCATATTGCCCATCCTGTCACATCCTCCAAAGTAAAGCTCAAGTAACGTGGGACCCTTGAGGAGTATGTTCTCAACACTGCAACGCTTCAACAAAATCACAGCTCTCCATTCCCCCTGGTTCTGGCTGCACTGCACAACACCCACAGGGCAAGGGAGGAGGGGGCGGAAATCCAGAATAAATGCCCTGAAAATTCAGAAGTGCTATTTTTCTTGGAGCACGGGAACATGCCAAAAGCTGCATGAAGTTGTCCCACTGTAGAATGAGAAAAGGTCTGAAAATTTCCTTCCATCACTGGCAAATTCTGACTGTTAATCATCTATATTCAAATACCCACTGGGCTTTGGAAGTGACTCTCAGTAGCAGACCATTACATTGGGGCCATCATTACTGTTGCATAATCAGAAATAAATGTGTCCAGTAAATTATCCATCTTGCAACAATCTAACTGGATTGCCACCAACAGAGAGAATTAAAAAAGGCCCAGATTTCTACTATGCTGTCCATCTACTCAGGAAAGAAGCAACTCTGAAACTCAGTTAGATCCCAGATTTTATCTGCCTATAATGGAGCACTTCAGGTCCAAGTCTTAATAAAATTAAATGGGCATTTTGAGTGTGTTTTGAGTCACCTCTGATTGCTTTAAGCTCTGGTGGTATTGTCAGACAAAAAAACCCAACAAACCCAACCTAAAAATAGTCAAGAAGTATATATTAATTACTTTTTAAAAACCTGCAATTTACAGTGACATTTAACCCATCCTTCCAGAGCTGCAATTTGACAAGTATGTAATTACATCTGACCAGTGATAATCAGGGAGACAAATAAAATCCAGCACATTTAGGGTGACCTTTCTTAATTGAACTTTGCCTGCAATTAATTATCCATTGTCTGCATGTATATTATTTACAATCAAGAAACAATTTATAATAATCTTCTATGATTACAACATATTTTTCTAAATGAAAAATGATATCACAGGTTGCTCAGTTTCTTCTGTCCCAACTCAACAGGTGTTTTGAAAAATAATATACAAAATTTCAGCCTGAGGGAAAAGAGGATTCAGTATCAGAGGGTAATAGTCTGCTTTATAGGAATTTTAAAAAAAAGTTAACTGAGTTTGATCTCATGAATGCGCAGCCCTTATTTTAGCAATTAATGGAGTCATTCTAAGTCTCTCGATTGATTTCAGTGGAAGACTCCAGCCCTGGGAGCTGCTTGGCTAAATGGAATTTGTTAGCTGTGCAGCATTACATATTAATTTATACCACCAGGTCTGACAGTCTACCTGGGAGGCAGAAAGGCTGTAATTTAATATTTTAAGGTATATTATGTTCATTAAATGATATGTGCACATTAAGTGAATGTGGAATTTAACAGAAGTCAATTTTTCTATAATTGAATACAGCGTAAACTAATGAGAACTAAAGGAATGTGAGTCACCACAGTGTAACAAAATATCCTCACATCTCCACATGGCCCTTGGGAATTGTCACCTCATGCTCTGTGTGACAGATTCTACCAACAGTGGGCTCTGTTGTCTGAGGTGACTCACCTGGAATTAGTCAATGCTTCTCAGTGAAGCCAAGGAATGTTAATATTCTAAAGACCTCAGTGATACAATAAATCCTCACACTGCATTTACAGCGTTGGTATAATCTTTGATTTTTGTATCTGTAATGTTTTTCCACTCAATGTGGATCCACTGAGACCTCAAGATAAACAGATATGTAACTTTAAAATTATATTCTGTAATACGCAAACTGGCACACAACATTGCTATTCCTATTGGATTTTAAACACCTGATTTTTTCATGACATGTTTATCCTGTACATTCCTTAGAACAGATGATTTCTAATGGCAGCTGAAGGTAGCAAATTCTGTTAAAATCTGCATGCAGTAAATTTACCCCAAAAATACTGGAAAATATGCCTGGGCCTAAAAGCTACTAAAACCCAAAGGAATATTTTGATTCCAGTTGCTTTGGATCAGCCCACGAGTGCAAACTGCCTTTTGCATTTGTAAAAAAGCATTTTAGAGTATCAAGTCATAAAATACTCCTACTTCCTTGTTCATTACTTGCTCAGTACCACCTTCCTCACATTATTTGCTTTCCAAATTATACATTTATACATATATATATAAATACACACACTGCCCTTTTTTCACAAGAGGGACTTAATATATTGAGACATCACAGCTTTCCTACTATCCTTCATACTCTTCCCTATTTTTCTATTGCCTCCACTTCTGTCAATTTTTAAGAGACCAACTAACCAACTAGCACCTCTTGCTAACACCAGATCTTTAGAAATGCATTTTAATGACTCTGAAATTCCTGACTCCTCTCACCTCTGAGTGAGATTCAGAGTTTCCAAAGGCAGATCCATGTTGTCACATCAGAAATAGAGATTACTCCCTGAAAACACTCAGGCTTTGTGCATCAAACACAAACATTTAGCAGTCCCTTGGGAATTGTACTCTACCTTACAACTATGAAATGGGTTTTTCTACAATGCCAGTGGGAACTCACATTTTTAACACCTGTTGCTCCAGTGGTCCTGGAGAAGAAAGTGTCCAGTTATTAGGAACAAGCAATTTTATTAAGCAGTGAGAATTTTCAGAACTTTTTCTCTTCAAAATAAAACCTGAATAACAGAAACAAGAGTCAGTAAAACACCTTGACTCGTGCCTAAACATTACAGAATTATTACCTTTCTCCCTGGTTGTTTTTTTATTTTTTTTATATTGAAAAGACTTGTGTAGAGTACAATCCATTCTTTTCAGTCTGGAGTAGAACAAGAAGTTACTCCTCCCTAACAGCTAGGAAGCCTATCCAGTTAAGGAGGCCTCTGCGGGACGGGTCAGGGTTTCCGTGCTGGCTGTCGTGGAGGGCAGTGATGCTGATGGAATGTGAGCACAGGTCACTTTTGCCTTCCCAAACCTCGTCCCGAGTGGAAACAAAAACCAGCCGTGACCAGCAGAAGTCTGATTAATTGAGAGTGGCATCCTGAGCCTGGTGCTGGTGACCCAGTGACTGGGAATTGCCCTGGAGGTCTGAAGTGTCGTGTCCTTCCCCAGGGTAGCAGTCACAGATACAGCAGGGCTGCCTGGTTCGATTCCATTAGCCCACCACTGTTCACAAACGTGGGGATCACACAGGGCCTGCCCGTGGCTTGGCACACACAGACACGATCAGCCCTGGCACCGGAGGCTGCTGACAGACTGCCAGCCCCTGGTGCAGATGGCGGCAGCACAAGAGCGCTAATTACCGATGACATTAACGATGAGCTAACCTGCCTCTCTTCAGCTCATAAACAGACGGAATGTGTTTCCTATTAATTTTTTTCCCCCCCTCCCAGATAACAAATTGTTTAGCTTTAATGGTAGAGAGCAACAAAACCAAATTATCTGTTCTTTGGAGAAATTTGTTTTCCGCTAATTGCTCTAAACAATCAATAAAAGAATTACAACTGGCATCACCCACTGAGAAGAGAAGCAGGGAAGTCAAAGTCAATTAGCTTCCCGCAGGATGATGCACTCACACGGAAAGAGTCATTACAACAGGGTGGAGAAGTCAAACTGCAAAGTGTGCAGCTCCAGGAACAAAGCAGGCTTGGATGGAAAGACTAACAGAGGGCTTTCACATACCTGCCAGTTCTTCATACAGCACTGCAGTTCCCAGTTTTCCTTCAGCTGCTTCCAAAAACCGATGGAAGATGGGATCCTTGGATCTTCAGAGAGCACCAAGCCTTCGGAAGTCATTACTGAGAAACATTTCATCTACAGAACAAAAAAGACCAATCAATTCAGTTTTGTGTCATTTGTATTTTAGTGCAAATATGATAAATATGGAAAACCTGAGGACTCCATGGTGGCTACTGAGATGTTACCCAAGTGACTTCCCAGCCTTTTCTTCATTATTCTCAATGAATTTCCCCCACCATGGGTTTCTGATACAACAATATACACAAATACATGGATACAGATAAGCATACACACACATATAAATACAAACTGACTTTTCAGGTTGAATATTTTCACTAAGAGCAATTGGATCGAATCAGCAGCCATTTAAGAAGGGCAAGTCACCTCTTCTAGAGGTATTTGAAAGACATGTAGAAGTGGCACTGAGGGACCTGGTTTAGTGGTAGACTTGGCAGTGTTTGGTTTACAGGTGGCCTCAATGATGTTAAGGGTCTTTTCCAAATTAAAGAATTCTGTAATTCTATGACCATCCATATCAGAAAAAAATCAAGCACACAAGATAGACCTATCCTGTTGGAATAACTTCTCACTGCTGTTTTATCTCATTTTCCTCAAGTGCATGGAGCTTTAGATTTATTGTTTTAAACATTATTCATGGATTGTTACTTCTAGCACATTCAAATTAAGAAATTAACATTCTAACACACTTTGTGCTGATCACAACTCGCTCTGTGTGTTGGAAGAGTCAAGTCCCCATTACTTCACATCAATTCCTTGCACCCCACAGTGAAAAAAGTTTAGTATCACATATTTTGCCCTGAGAACTGAAATCATAGAGGTCTACCTGAACTCCTGACTGATTTAACTTCTCTCCTGGGCTCAGTTCCTGACTCTTTTCATAAGGACTGACTCTGGCATGAGCTGCTTGAGTGGCAGTGCTTCCCTCCCCCAGACCTTTCCATCGGGGCACTTTCCTGAGCGGGTTTGTTTTCCTACAACAAGGTCTCTGATTTTCTACCGGGTACAAACAGCTGACCACCCAAGGTCTGAACACACCGAGCAGTGTGTTCAGCGGTGACGCAATGCTGTATTTGAAAACACATCATCTCCCCACTTCATGCAGTTGCACACAAAGGAGTGCACTGACTTGTTTCACGCCAGCACACTTGCAAAGGCATCCAAAACTTCTGTTACAGGCCACCTACTTTTCCATGAGTTATCAGAAACAAGGCAGGCAGCCTATTAAGGGGGGGACTAACAATGACTGGTTGTTCTGGGCTGGGAAAGGTTTCCATCCGTCCTCACAGCTCTCTTTGTGCAGAGCTTGTAAATAACAACAGGCACAAGCCCTACAGCCACTAATTTAGCACCACATTGTGACTCCCTCTGTTTCTTTCCATTTGCCTCAAGCAAAGTCAAGTTCTAGTGACCTTTTTCGGCCAATATATACGAAACTGGCTTGTGTGACCTGGGTGCTGTTTTGTACAGAGCATTAAGTAAGTACCTTGCACAGAGCAAATAGTGCAGTCTGACCATGAAATTCCTGTGACTGGGCTTATGTTGGTTTGTCTACACATTAACGAATAACTGAGTTTTGTTGAAAGGGAAAACAAACATTTTGTTTCATTTCGTTGCAAGACATTACTAATCCAGAGGCTATTCTGCTGCAAAGCAGCAAAAGGAAAAGGAATGGAACAATTCCCATATTTAAGAGTTCTCAGTTTTTCTTCTTCACCAAGATTCTGGTGAAATGAAGACAACATCCCTCCATGGCCATATGGGTAACAACAGTCAGCTCAGCCACCTGTATAACATGCTCTGTTTTCCTCTGCAAAAGAGAGCATGCTGTGTTTAGAACAGAAACTTGATACAGGAGGAAACATTTCTCTCATAAAGATTCTTGTTTACAAAGCCACTGACAAAATTTTCAAGATTGCTCTGGATGCCTTGCTTACTTTTCCAGCAGAGATGTTTTCTTCCTGTGCTAACACAAGACAGATTTCCACTGAATGCCAGCTGAGTGCTAACATTTGCTCTTTACAACATATCCCTCTATAGATGAGACCAAATGCTGCTTTCCTGCTCATTTTGGCAACTGCTGTATAAGCAATAGTTGCACCAGGCCATTCTGAATCACAAGTTTTGCTTATAATCTGTAGCATATATTTGATTTCCCTCATGCTGGAATCCTCGTATTTAATCTCCACATACCCAGGGTGGGTATCTCACAGAACCCAAGTCAGCCCTCACCGTGCAACTTTATTTCTTCCCTCACACAAAAGAAGCGTTTACACAAATGCAAGGCAACCCTTTTATCGTACTTTTTGGGGTCACCTGAAATGCAAAGTGCAAAACTGAATTCCTACCCCCAGCAAACCAGTTAATTCCTCTTCCTGCACTCTGCTGCACCTCCCCATGCACACGATGTGGTAATTGCTTTTGCTTGACTTGTTCCAACAGCCATTTTCCTGATGTGACAGCCGGGGCACTAATATATTTATGCCCTTTGTAATCGGCCAGCGCTGCTTGTAATTAGGTGCAAAGTTAATTAAGTGCAATACATCTAATAACTGCCTGCCAGGAACTGTAAAGTTTGATTTAGCACATGAACTGTCAAGGTGTCAGAATGGTGTGCTAAAAAATAAGTTGCTAACAGAGAAACAATCATGCCACAAGCCAGGGAAAAGCGCCGTGACAGGGAGTGAGCTGAGGAAAGGGAAAATTGAGCCAATACTTGCTATTTCCAACACTGGGAATGACCCACCTGCATGTTGGGAAGTTGTATCTTGCTTAATTGAACAACAAATTAAGGTATTCTTTTATTTATTAGCCAGTGTCTTCTCCTATAGACAGCCCTTCTCTTCAAAAGGTATACAGATGGTATAGAATTTTTTTAAGCCTGTAAATGTCAGTAAGAGATTTTTTTTTTTAAATTAATGTATAAAAAGGGTTATAAAAAGAATCATGTTTAGGGACCTGGTTTGTTAGTTTCTTTTATTGCACAAATTACAGCTTTTCTTCTACTGAATCTGAGAGAATATTCCATATTCTTCTTCCTTAAATTCAACTTTGGTTGGCTCAAATGTTCCCTTCACTTCCATCCCTGTATGATATGAACTGCAAAATGCCCTTTTCCTCATACCAGGCAGTCAGGGCAGGTGAAGAAAGAAAGCACAGCTGGTCAGCAGGGGAAAAAAAAAACCCAAACAACAACCAAATGAGCCGAATTCCACACCCAGAATAATGCAGGACATCAGATTAGGAGTTGCAGGGAGCATGGCTGACGAGCTGCACATGCACCACAGCAGCATAAGATACGTGCACAGCTCAATAACACTCTGATTATTAACACACACACAGATGTATGAAGCTCAGAAAATGACACCTGTAAGATATCAAGAGGGGAAGCATGGGCAAGGCTCTGAAGCTTTCTCAGGCCAGCAGATGCAAATAAAGTGCTGGAATTTGTCCATATTCAGGATAGTTCACAGACCTTCAGGAATAACTGAAGTTCAAGGGCAACACTGGATCACCAGCAAAGTTTTCCTCCCAAAGCACTTCACCAAAAGCCCTGTCAGATAAGCCAATCTTTGTGGTTCATCATTAGGAACTGATATTTGATCAGGGAAATGATGCTCTAGATTGACATGAAATGAATAATGCTTGTTGTGTGGTGCCCAGTGACAAAGGTAAATGCTAATAGCTCTGAAATCCTAATGAATGCCAAAGTGCTCTTCCCAGCTTTGATTAGTGCTTGTGTTGTGCAATTATGCTTTTCTATAATTACTGTGAATTACCATCATGATATTATTATTCTCATATTTTCTATTCCTCTGAAATTCTCAAAATTTCCTGCAGCTAAAAATGGATTTCATTTGCATTATCACAAGCTTTGATTGTTTAATGAAAAATAATTCCATGCAGACTCTCGTGTTAAATTGTCCATTTAAAATGTTCCTGTCATCTAGATTATGTTGAAGTGTCCCTTCTTTCATTTGCCATTTGCCTCTATTATCACAGCCACTGCCCTCCCTTCGTGCTGGATTTCAGAGAGAAGGAAAAAATGAAAGACATTTTTTCCCATATCCTCATCTTTTGCCTGAAAGCCTTTTCCTTGACATTCCTTATTTGGAAAGCTTAAAAGCAGTAGGACTTTTCAGGAAAACGTGGTAGCTTTGTGATGTATTCAAAAATGCTGGACTAGAAGACGGTCTAGATACCCAAATTTATATTATGTATTTCACTACATACAAAAATAATACTATTTTCTTATTTCTGCCTCCCTTATTTCTTTCCAACCTTTTTCAACTGCTTCCATTTTCACCTCATATATGCAGCTGATTTTTCTCTCACATACACACAATTCTCCCATGCAAAGTGTTGATATAACACGTGTGGTCACAATTTCACACTTGTAATATTCAAATAGCTTCAAAGTTAGTCAGAATAAGTTTGACCGTGTCCATATGTACACTTAAGGAGATGAAAGCCTGGATCAAATGAAGGAAAACAACCTTTTTTTTTAAAAAAAAAATCTTATAAAGAGGTTATTTAACTCTTAATGATTTTTTGTTCCCATTTTCCCCATGGATAATAACAAATGGAAATACTTCATCTATAACTTCATCGTGATGTGGGGAAAATTGAGCCCACATTGAACATCTGTAGGTTGTGTCTTTCAAAGCAGATTCCATAACTTCAGCTAAAGAATGCCGGGTTTCCAAGCATCCCAGCCTGCTTCCTATCAGCTCCACTTGCAGCCCCACTGCAGTAAGAAGGGCTGTTGTCTTTAGGTACTCAGAACAAGGCTCCATAAACAAACAAGATGGAACAAGTCATGCATCAGGCACTGCCCCGGCCACTGAGCCAGCTCTGGCCAACTGGAACCGGTAGAAATGTAAATTCTTAGAGAAGCCCCCACCCATGCTCCATGGAAACTTCCACTCTACCACCCACATGCTCAGTGCCCAGCCTCATCCCTCATATGGGAGGTCAGCACAGATTCTGCTGGTTTCAAAATTGTTCTTTTATATTACAGATCAGCTCCAAGGGCCAAGGAGAGGAGCTAATCCTAC